CCTAAAAAAAAAAAAAAAAAAAAAAAAAAAAAAAAACTGGAACGGGAGGAATTTGTAATTTGGTAAAAAAAATTTTTATATCAACAAAACACGACAAAATACCGACACACGTGTTTGACAGTTAGAGGACAGAAAAGCAGCCTGTCAACTGTCTCAGGAGCAGGATGTCAACCGATATTCGTCCCCGTGGCAGGAAACAAGTGGAGTGCAGAACAGTCTACATACCCATAATTGCTGTCGGTGCCTCCTTCGGTTTCTTAACGCTCTCCTACGTCCGCGTTCCCTCTCCACATGTTAGAACCCACACTTGGTGCTTCCGTCCGGGAACACGCGCACGAACCCCCCCCCCCCCGGCCCCCGCCGCTGGAAACGCACGCACTTTGAGCTGTTTTTGCGCACACCTGTCGGAGACCGGACCGGTCCTTCAGAAGGTGCGCATCAACCTCTGGCCGGCAGCCTCTCTCCAGACTGACCGTGAAAACGTCGGCGTGTTGCGCGCGCGCGCGCACACACAGACAGCTGCGAAGAGGGGGGGAATGCACTCAGGCTCGCATCCTCCCGGAGGATGACATCGTCCAGCGGTTCACGCGTCCTCAGGGAGGCTGGGACTCGGATCCGAGCCCCGAACACCGAGCCGCCATCGGGAGGTGGGTTTCAGACCCGAAGAACCTGGAAAGGAGCCAAGAATCTGGACGGGATTTAAAGTGTGCTCCGCAGCAGCCCGGATTCGGAGGTTGGAGGCTGGAGGACGGAGGAGCGATCTGCTCCGTGGATCCGATCCACGGAGCGTGGCATCGAAGAGAAGTGTGTTGTGTAGCAACAGGAGTGATGTTGGTGTATCATCACACTCCGCTCTCTGCTGCCGCTGCTGCCGCTCGTTTCATGACCTATGGCGCCCTCTGCTGGTTAACCAGTGACCCTACTGCAGCCTGCACAACAGTAGACTTCATTATCCTCAGTGACATACTGCATCGCCAGTGGCGGTTCTGTGTTTTTTTTTACGTCATAAAAACAGAGTCTACTTCCTGGTCAAGTACTCTGTGTAGTACTACATCAGATGTTAATATTCTTCCTGATAACTTCAAAAATACTTCATGTTCTAGAATATGACAAAAAAAAAAAAAAAAAAAAAAAAAAAAAAAACAAGGCGGGTTTTTTTTGTATTTTTTTGAGAAAATATTCCAGACAAGAGACCGTGTTTAAAATAACGAATACACTGACGGATGTTTGGTGTAACAGCGCCCCCACAAGATCATTTTAGGAACTGTACGAGTGAAAGAAAATGTGTAGAATTTGTATCGTTTTGTAAAAAATAATCAGAATCAACAGAAATGTGTAAATGTCAAGTTCAACATTAATTTTAAAATGTGTTTAATTAATTAATCATTTAAATATTCACTATTTCGACACGTTATTAACCAAAATATACACCTAAAAAATATAAACAACAATTTTTTTTTGCACTAAATGTGGGGTAAAAAGGTGGAAACTTGTGTTGAAGTTAAATTTGTCATCATTATTACTTGTTTTTTTTTGTTTTTTTTTGCCACCGTGCAGTGCTTTGTGTGGACACAGGGTGCCGCTATGGAGTCCCTCCTGCGAGTCCGGGAGTTCGGGGTCAGAGTCATCACTTCTAATGGCTCTCGCTGCCTTTGTACTTAATGAGTAGCCTAATCACCAGTAATAGACGTTAATGGACGTTTGAGCTCCAACGCCGACACTTTGTGTCAAAGGAACCAAAATAAAACTGATGCATTTGGTTCTTCGGTGGCCGTCACCCGTTCGGCCTCCATTAGATTCATCTGCTGACGAGAGTTGAAGGACAGGGCAAGAAACTACTCTCTCTTTCTCTCTAACTGACACGATTTCTTTCTCTTTCTCCAGCAGGTGGCACCCTAAACCACTTCCTACTACGCCTACTAAGACTTTTAAGATTTTAACTCTCTCCATACATTAAAGCTCGTGCCGATGGAGACCGCTCTCGGAAGTCTCATCTGACGCTTGGACTCAGACCCCTCAGGAGACATTGGTCTTCGGTTGCTAGGTCCGGTCTTAGTGTCTTAGTCAGACCTTTGAAGAGTAGCTAACCGCGAGGGTGCGGCACCGGTGCAGACCCTAGACCTTTAAATCAGTCAGCATTTTAAAGATCGTCTGTGACTGACTGACTGACTGACTGAGCTGGGAATAAAAGAGCGGGAAAAAAAAAGAGAGAGAGAGACTGAAGAATGAACCCCTCTGGAACAGCACGAACACACACATATATATATGTATGTATATATATATATATATATATAGTGTATATGTGTGAGTGTGTATCCGTAGACAGACAGAGCGACAGACAGAGAGTCGTCGTGAGGATGGTTGTTTTTTTCCCCCCTTCTTCTAAGCTTTAATTACCCTGAAAACTGCACAGGACTATTATCTCGGCAGCAGGTTAATATTCCTGAGACTGAGGCCCGGTCCCCAAACATCTGGCATTTTATCCCTCTGCTCTGCCGTGACTCGGGGGGCGGGGGGCGAGAAACCAAAATGCTGAGGCTCGACTCGGCTTTGATTAAATTGCAGCTCAAAGTTTCCCTCAGAAGCGGAGGGAAGAAGGGCGCCTGGACCTGAGCGAGGGCTCCCGGGGATGAATCATGACATCACTTCTCTCTGGGCATCTCCCGGCGTTATCTGGACAACAACGGCAGGACGAGTGCAGAGGCATGCTGGGATGTTAGTGAGATAAGAGTTGTTAAAAAAAAAAACCCCACCATTAAACCTTCAACAAAACACGATTCTTTCTTGGCTCCTGTTGCCGCTCCTCCCTCCTCCCTCCTCCCTCCTCCTTCCTCCCCGCCCCGCTGTACTCCCCCTCGGAAGATGGAAGGCAATGAGTCTTTATGTGGTAGACCGTCTTTTCAAATGTCACTCTCATGCATAAGAGAGAAATCCCTTCAGCAGACGCAGCCTGTGAGGATCAGTGGGTAATGCATGAAAGGAGCAGAGATAATAGGCTTCTCTATTCGAATCCTACTGCGTCTGTGTCTGCAGAGTCAGGTACGAGCAGTTTGGTCAACTCCAACTTTTATACCAGGCCAAGAATCTGGCAATATGATACGCATCGCGATACAGGGTGCGACGGTATGATACTGCAATACTATAAGGTTGCATCGAGGTTTTGCATTGAGTGCCCCCCCCCCCCCTCCTCACCCCCAGTGTAGCTGTAGTCCAAGTGTGATCCTGGTCTCAGACTCTGTTCCATCAGGTTACGAACATTGGGATCTACATTTGGAATCACCAGAGAAGAAAGAAAAGAAAAAGAAAATGAACCAACACCAGGAATATCGGTCTGGGAATTAGGGATAAAAAAACAATAACTGATGGAGGAGGAGATTGATACGGTATCGCAAAACAAAATACAGCGGTCCCTCGTTTACCGCGGTAGATGGGTTCCAAGGCCCTGCCGCGAGAACTGAATTTTCGCAAAGTAGTGACATCGTATTTATGTGCAGTAAAATGATGATGACTTTTACTGCGCAGCCGATGATTGATTTTACGTCTCTCCAGAAGGTGGTGCCATTTCTGGGGGCACCTCTTCCACCCTTTCCGAAAGTGTATCCGTAGTAGTAGCAGGAACCGGCTCTTTTTTGTTTTTGCGATGCTGTCGAACATCGTGATCGGCAGTTGCTTCCGCCGCTTCTTTTTTTCCCAGTCGAAGAGTAGCTCGTAGGCAGTCACGACGTCGTCGGTTTTGTTTGCGAAAATCGGACCGATCGATCCGTATCCGTATCTCTCGCAGATCCAAATCCGAGTTACAGTATATTTTATATATACAGTTTAAAAAAAAAACCTGTGAAAGATTAACCGCGAAATAGCGAAAGGACTGTATTGTGATATTTATGGCTATTTTCTTACGCTCCTACTTATATAAATATTTCATATCCGAGGGTTCAGTAAAAATCCGATCAAAGGTCAAAAGTCGCACACAGCTCCACACTTGGACAAAGATGTGACAACAAAACTGTCGGAGACGCACACAGAGACGAGTCTGAACTGCTTTTAGTCACTAATGCCAGAGGCCTGCAGGAGCGGTAAGTATCTGTCTGAGGACTTCTTGACTCACCCCCACCTCCCACCCTCCCCCCGCCGCCGGTGAGCCAGGGACACATTTTAAATTCATGTTTCATGGTCTGTGGCTGAAAACATCTTCCCACTCAGTGGAGGTCCGCCGTAGACCCTGCTCCGCCAACGCCGGAGAACATTTTGCAGTAGCTGTCCAGAAAGCCTGGTGGCATACTAATAGATTCCTGCGGGGACGGACTGACACCATCTGTACGGCTGTAAACTTCAGCCAACAGCAACGCACAGCAAAGGCCAGCAGGGGAGCTGTGGCTCCAGACGAGTCCCAGTGTGGGCTGGCTGCTTCAGTGATGGAGACCACAGAAGGTCCCAGAGGTCTGACTTAGTAGTCTGAGGGTACAACAGTCCTTCAATGATCTTCGACAGGGGAGCCCAAGTCTCCTAGTGGTCAAGGTGGTATTGCAGGGCAGTCGTTAAATTAGGTTAGGAGTATTTTTCACATTATTTTCCAAGATGTGCGCTTTCGTGGTGAAGCGATCGGCACTGCCTTTCAGAGAGAGAGAGAGAGAGAGAGTCCTGGGTTAGCCATATACCTGGTGCCTCCTAGGGGCAGCCGGTTGTAGCACATCAGCTGACAACACAAGAATTTCCCCCAGTGTTTGATCAATAATGTTCATAAAAAAAAAAGATTTGTCTCAGAAATTATGTCTTTAAGTGGACATTGACAATGACGTCTTGCTTGTACTGTAGTATCGTAGTGTATCACAACATATCGTATCGTTCCCCCCCATATCGTGATACGTTTCGTGTCTCCAGATTCTCATTTGTAGTGTTGTTTTTTTTGTTTGTTTTTTTTTACGTCGTCTACAGTCGACCGATGAACAACGACCCGTGGACACAGTACCACAGTTACGTAACGTATCAATGCAAACAACATAACATAACAAAAAAATAAATAAATGCGAAAAAAACCTGCCTAAAACTTTTGCACACATGCGCGCACGCCTTGGTCTCGGAGAATTCATCTTAAGTCTGATTCTGAATGTCTTACTTTCCTCTCCCCTCGGGTTCCACTTCCCTCGCTACCTTTGACCTCACGATGCAGTTCACACCAGGCACCAGCAGGGGACCGTCTGACCTCACACACGCACACTCACTCACTTACTCCAGACTGTCAACTATTGACGTGGCCTCGTTCGTACAACCTGTGACCCACGCGATCTGGCCACTGAATTCTTGCACTCCCCATTCTGTCCACCAGGGCTTGCTCTTAGCACGCATTAGAACTGAGGCCTT